TGAGCCCATACTCGCACGTATGGGCTGTGTGTAGAGTATATGGTACACGTCCACGATTACTCGTTAGGACAGCACCGTAGGAAAAACGAAACGAAACGATAGGTCACATCATTTCATTGCGTGTGATTGTTGCATAACCCCGATAGGGGGTCACTTACTGAGTATTCTAGAAATACTCAAGCCTCGTTGTTAAGGATATTTAGTAATAAATTATAGTTTACCATATATATTATATTTGATATTTTATTATAAGGAAAATATCTAATATTTGCTTTATTATCATAGGTATCTTTCCCATTGTTATTTCCATTTATTACTATTTCCATATCCTTGTAATTTATTTGATTATAAATAAGAGAACTTTTATACCATTTAGGTGTGGTGGATTAATCAAACATTCACATGGTATCAGAGCCCTCTCGGTTTAACAACCCGATCCTTTCCTTTCAATGGCTTTTGAATCCTCTAATCTTCTTCTCCACCACCCCTGCTGGTTTTGACGCCGCAAGGGCAGTCTTCATGGCTGCCGTAGTCGGAGCCGATTGATTACTCTTCAGCTCCACCTTATTGACCTCCAAATCACCTTTCGTCATACTGTGTACATACAACCTCACCTTTTCCAACCCAATCGGTTTTCCCCTTGGCCAATATAGTCTCTCTCATTTTCTTCCCAATCAACCTTCATCCTTCACATAAACCCTAACCTAAACCTATCAACCTTTTGCAAAGATTTACCTTCGGAATCTGGGTGCCGCACTGGCCTATTCGCCAACCAAGTTGCCGCCGCCTTTCCTACCAAAATTGGCTTCTTCGCCCGATGAGGCGACTCTTCCGACTGCCCTTCTCGCCAAAATTGGCTCCTTCGCCCAATGTGGCGACTCTTCCGACTTCAACATTGTCTTTATTCCTTGCTCTAGGTTTCCTCTTCTACTTCTTGGGGTTAGAAATATTCTCACCAGAGCCAAAGCAGCATCGTCGCTAAGCGACAATCCCTCTTCATGGGTTAGACATATTCTCGTCGAAGCCAAGGCAGCATCGCCGCTGAGCGGCGATCCCTCTGCAATTTTTTGATGGCCAAGAACCGGGTTGTTAGCATCTTCATGAAAAGTGTTTCTCAACCTCTTTGAATTTTTCAGATTCAAGCTTCACGTTCGTTTAAATCCGACGCTTAGCTTGCGGAGGGGTGTTAAGGATATTTAGTAATAAATTATAGTTTACCATATATATTATATTTGATATTTTATTATAAGGCAAATATCTAATATTTTCCTTATTATCATAGGTATCTCTCCATTTATTGTTATTTTCCTTTATTACTATTTCCATATCCTTGTAATTTATTTGATTATAAATAAGATAACTTTCATACCATTTAAGTGTGGTGGATTAATCAAACATTCACACTCGTGCTACTTTACTTTTTCAAATAAGGGCAAGGCACCCATGTGACATCAACGGCGGCATCGTACACCCCTGGACCATGGCACATGCATAGGGTAGTTGTTTTTTCATTTCATAGTCTAGGTTGAATTCGGTTTGCATCATTAGTATAGGTTTGTATAGGTTAGTATAGGTTGATTTGTATTTGCATAATAAACAATAGGGTAGAAACAAACATTCATTTCGGTTTTGTTCCTTTTCCTTTATCTCAATAATGTTTAATGTTCTTTTCCTTTATTTCCCTTGTAATTCTATTTCACGAGGTAATAAAAGGTGAGAGTAAGTCGCATTTATGAATAGGGCTCATTTATTGTATATTCCGCATTCCAAGGTATAGTAATGATCTTAGACTAAACAGGTGAAATTTAGGGTCATTACACCCTAGTACTCCTTTGAACGCAAAAAGTTTTCCATGAGCATCGCCCAATGATCATAGTATTCATCAAATTTCATAATTGCAAACTACACAAATGAACTCTCCATCGAAATACTTTTACTACGACACACATATAAGACTGCTACTTTTAATTTTAACTTAGCTAAGTTTAGGACATGACTCTGATACCAAATGTTAAGAACAAAGATAAAAACTAGAAAGATCAGTAGGATTAGGAGAAATCTCATATTCTATTGAAGAATGAAAATGACTATTATAAAACTTTACAGAATACACGGAAAACAAGGAAATCTAAATCAAATAATTAAATCAAATCTAATTCAAATAACTAAATCAAATCTAAATAAAAGGTCACTAATTTAACTTTATCTTCGTCTACTTTACTCCATTTTTACTAATATGAAGCCAAAAATTGCTAAGCGTAATCAAAATTGATTAACATGCTTCACATGCTCATGCAAAGTCTTCGAATAAATTAAAATATCATCAAAATACACAACATGTTTTCCCAAATATTCTCTCAAAACATGATTCATTAAGCACATAAATGTTCTAGGAGGACTAGTCAACCCAAAAAGCATAACAAGCAAGCTATACAATCCAAACTTAGTTTTGAAAGTTGTTTTTCATTCCTCTCCTCCATGCATTCTAATTTGATGATATCCATATTTCAAATCAATCTTTGTAAATAGACATGAATCATGCAATTCATCAAGCATATAATTCAAGGACATGTGCCACGTTCCATCTTTCTTTGGCACCAATAAGACTGGTACAAAACATGGACTCAAACTTTCTCGTATATAGCCCTTCTCCATGAGCTCCTCTACTTGCCTCTGAATTTCTTTAGTCTCAGTTGAGTTGGCTCTAAAAGCTCGCTTGTTAGGAATGACAGCCCCGGAATTAAGTCTATTTTATGATCAATACCTTTAATGGGAGGTAGTTCTTTAGGTACTGCATCTTGGAACACATCCTCAAATTCTTGTAAAAGATATTGAAACATACTAAGCAAAGACAAGTTGTTATCATTAGAGTCCAAACATTCTTCCTTGTACATAAGTTCATGATAGTTTTTTTTGTGAAAACATTGTCCTTCTAACCTCTCCAATTTAGCCAAACAACTCACTTTCTTTCTTTTTTTTTTTCAATTTCATTATTCTTTTCCCCTTTTTCTCCAACTTTAGCCAAACAACTCACTTAACTTTTTTTTTTTTCAATTTTATTCTTCTTTTCACTATTTTTTTCTCTCAATTTTCTTCCTAACTTTAATTGATCAGAAATACATCGGCAGAACTCAAAGGAACAAGAGTGGTTTTTCTACCATTTTTTTTTTTATAAAGGAATACCTATTCAAATAATCATCATACATGACCTTCCTATCAAATTGTCAAGGTCGGCCAAGCAATGTCTCCAACAAGCATTGGTAGCACATCACAAAGAACTTATGTTTATATTTTCCCAAAGTAAAAGATATTAAGGCAACCCTAATCCTTAGTTCAATGAACCAAGCGTTTGATGACGCAAAAACACTTAAATCAAAGAAATAAACACCTCCTTATAAAAAATTCGAATCAACCAAGATAAGCTAAGATTAGATTACCTCTTAAGATCAAAGATCTAGAACCAAGATTTGAAATCTTATTCTAAATTGAGTCACCCCACCATCGAACTTGATCAAGACTTGATTGACCAAAATTTCTTGAAACTTATAAATGACAAAAGTTGTCTTTTCCATTGTAATTTGTGGGTATTTATAGTTTCTAGACAAAATAAATTTCAATTCTTAAAATGCTCACTAAAGTTAATGGTCATAATTTACTCTCATTTCCACACGAGAAGTTAGTAGACATAGTTTACTCTCACCCTTTAATTCTCCACCAAAAAAAAATTGACAAAAAACTTCCCACCCTTTTGCCCACTACAAGAATTATGAAATTAAAAATAATAAATAAAGTTTTCTAACAACTTATCAATCAAGTGAAATTTATAGCAACTTCATCTGCTACTTCGACCGTGCAAATATTCACATCTAAAGCTCAAAATGGTCATTTCTTAATTGAATCAGTTTGTAACACATCAAATAATGGTTGAACTAACTCTATCCAAGTAGATGAAAAATGAATACTTGTTGGTATTCTTGGTTTTGGATCGTGTAATAGGTCCAGTTGGAACACCATGATCCTTATCAATATGTAACTGACATGTCATGAAAACTTTAACCATAAAACGAGATATCCTTCCTATTTACTACTTGCTACATAACTACTTTTATTTATACATGACCAAAGTGAGACGTGACTGCGAGCCGAGCTATGAAAAACCGAACTGACACTCTAAAAATAAAATGGTTTTCGGGACCTAATAACTTAAGGGTTTGATACAAAATTGTCGATGAAACAAGTTATAAAAAGATGATAAAAAAAATTTCGCTTTTAAGTTAAATACAGACGTTCACACGCATGCTATTTAAAATACAAAGATCATTTACAAATGGAAAGGTTACAAAAATCATGTACAAATAAACAAAAGACTCAAAATCCTCAGGTCAACGATGTCCTCCCCACAACTACATGGCCCAACACACCATCCCTATGACCGTGCTCTACTGCTCATTTGAAAACATGAAATGTAGCAAGAGTGAGTATAAAGTACTCTTAGTAAACAACCTGCTTGTAGACTCTTGTCGAAACTTATTCTTATATACAAAATTTGAAGCTATGTGCTCATAACTATCCCAAGAGTTAGCTGAACTGAGACTCAATGTCTATTCCAATCTATTCAGGTTTCTACGTACGAAAACCATATACATTCCTCCAATGTTGAGTGCTCTAACCCCTTCAGAGTTAATAATCGAAGGATTTTGGGTACTTTGTAGTCTATGTTTTACCTATGTCGAGATCACTCGTGCACCTCAGATCAATATACCCTTCAACAAGTACACTCACAAGGGGCTAATTGATACAAATCTCCAACTTCAAAAAGGGTATCCATTAATTTACCAATAAATATGTTACATAGACACAAGTATGGGCAAATGTAAAAAATTATGTAAAAAGAATGGCATGGAAAGAAAGGAGGAGTTCACAATAGTTGTGGCTGCCACGTGGAGGCCACTCCAATTCCCATTTCCTTCTCCTCTCTCTCTCTCTCTCTCTCCGACTCCGTTCCAGTTCCTTCTCCCCTCTCTCTCTCTCTCTCTCTCTCTCTCCTAGGGACGAACCGAAAGGGAGAGAACTCCGGAATCAATTCTTATGCGTTTTGCATTCAATTCACCTTCCATTTTTGTTTCTTTTCGTTATCTCGGAATTCGCCTTGAACTGGAAGAACGGAATCAAGCGGGGAGGAAACAATTTAAGGGAGGTAACCGCTCTTCTCTGATCAGCTTTCATGGAAATCGCTTCCAATTCTGCTGGTTCCTGCTCCCGAGAGCAACAGAAGGTTTATCAAGAATGGTTTGATTACGCCGATTCCGGTATTTGCTTTTCTTTGAGTTGTTTTGTCGGTTGTCCGTTTCTTTTATAAGTCAATATTGGATTTCTGATTCATACGCTGTTTAATTTCAGATGGAGACGGGCGTGTTACGGGGAATGATGCTATTAAGTTCTTTTCTATGTCCACCTTGCCTCGGCAAGATCTCAAACAGGTTTGGCTTCCTTTCGTGTTTTTCTCCATTTCGTTGGCTTTGGCATTTTTAAGTTTACGATGTTTGTTCTTTGGCTCTCGCTTTTCGGTGTTTCTTTCGTTGCTGGTCGCTCACAGTTATTCAATCTCACCACTCTATAAACACATTGTAGAAAGTTCTGATTAGTTTCTTGTGTTATGTAACTAACGTAGCTCCTTGTTTTGACAACGTGAGGTGAAAATTGACTTAATGTTGATGATCACGTGAACTTGGGGTAAAAAGATATATGGTTTTACCTTCACTTTTCACTTTCTTTATTATGAGGATGATGTCCTGTATAACATTTTGTTCAAAGGTGTGGGCAATTGCAGATTCCAAACGGCAAGGATATCTTGGGCTCAATGAGTTCATTACTGCAATGCAGGTTGTTGTTAAATTTTTTAGTATGTAGATTGAAAATGTCAGCTTATGTTCTAAAGTAATACGTTTCTATTGTGCTTAGCTTGTTTCTTTGGCGCAATCTGGAGTGGAAGTAACTCATGATGTATTGACTTCTAACAAAGAAGGTCAGTCTCCTAGCCCGAGTGCATATATTTTTCAATCAAAGTGTTCATAACTTTTCTATACTGTTCAATTTACTATGCTTTTGTCCTATAATCTTAGCCTTTTAATTTGAAGTAATTGCTCATGCAGTTGATTTTCAGAGTTTGAATCCTCCTAGAATGGAGGGTCTGGATGTCATATTAGCTGTGAGTATGCTTCTTCTGTAGTCTAAATGAATTGTTGAAAGAACTAATTTTTGTGATTAGTAGTTTTTTTTTTTTTTAATCCGCAAGTGGTCAGTTCAGCTTGTGTGCGCCTCCCCTCTTCTCATGGGGGAGTTGTTTGACCCTACTTTTGATTGACAAGAAAATTCATAGGATAAAAGCTTATAATTAGTAGTTTGGTAACATTATATTAGAGTAAAATTTTATCCAAATTTCTCCATCATTTCATTTTTTGGGGAAGGGGACGTGCAACATTTTTTGGAGAAGGCACATTCCACGACTGATGAATCATTTAGAGATCTTTGCTTTGTTGAAAATTTTCCATTCTTTATTAGCTATGTGCCCCTCAAAAAGCACTTAAAAGCCTAAACTACAACACTCCTTTATTTTTTAAAACCGAAAATCAGTACTTCATTAAAGAAAATGTGGAAATTTTCTAGGGAGCAAGGGGTGACAGAAGAGCAACCAAAAAAACATCTTAGCTTCTTCCAAATGGTTGAGTTGAGGAATATGATGAAATAACCACAAGAATAGATGGCCTGTGTTTTATATATCTATATCCTTTCCAGCTTAAACACACCAATTACAGCAAGCACAAGTGAGTACCAAGGTCCTTAGCCAGGGCCATAAGATAATAGTAATATAATAAATAACTAAAACTCAAGAACTGTTACTTCCAAATCCTATGAGAAGTTGCATGAGTGTCAATTGTGATTTGAAGTAGATGATTGGAAGAATCTTGGGGAAAACATCTGTTAGATTTTCTCCATACCAAGTCCATGTACCCTTAATTCTCAGGAAGGAAAATCATCTAATCTACTCAAATAAGAAAGCGCCACTGTCTCTAAGTTTGAGAGGTTTGCTTTAAAATGTAGCAGTGACCAGCCACTTGAGGTTTCACCCCAACCATGATGTATTGACCCATTCTTACTGTTTGAAAACAACCAAACCAAAGGGGAAAAGGGTAAATTAGGGTGTTTTGGAGGATACTTCTCAAATTCTTTGTTAATAAATACCCAAAAAAAGGTACGAGGCTATGGGGTGTAGGACGTTCTTGCACTAAGGGGCCTTTTCTTGTGAGGCACGTTTAAGGCATGTTTTTCAATACATTGATTGTAAAAGGAAGGCACATTAAGATGCAGTTGACATACCTACACCAATTATCTGCCACAACCAAAATTAGATAATACCTTTTAAACTCAGGTCAACCTCTTCAACCACAAAGGTCATTGAAATGCACTCTCAAATATGATATGGAATGTGTAAACGTTGAAACAAACTAGCTAGAACCAAATCTAAAATTTTTATAGCTTGTGTAAAATGATTTTCTAAGTGTTTTAAAAAGTGTAAGTGCTAAAAAGTTGTTTCTAAACACTTAAAAAATAATTCCAAGCAGGCATTTAGTTTGTTGATGGAGAACATGCGAGCTCACAATTAAGTGTCCCTTGATCTTTCATTCCTTGCCAAAATACCTCTTATGCCAGCTCTAGTAAGTCTTTAAATCATCATCATGCCCCACTACCATGTCAATAAAGGAATGGTTGAAGAATTTTTTATTTAAAATTTGACTCCACCAAAGGTGTGGTTCAGGTCTCTTCCTTGCTTGTTTAACTCGTTGAAATTTAAGCTCTCTTGAGTTATCCATATATTGAATGGATTAGTTGGGTCGATCAAAGCTGACTTTGATCTGGGTGAGCCTTGTACTAACCTTTGGGCCATGGGCCATCTCATGTGGCTGAAGCTAGAAATTTATTTGCTAATATGAAGTGAATATTGTAGGACATAGGATTAGGAAGGCACACCTTTCGTAATTATGTTCAAAGATCTAACTTTTTTATTTGTCTATCACACAGAAGAAAGCCAGTAAACGGAAGTCAAATGACAATGAGACAAATGGTAGCAACTTTATCTTTGCAATTAATGAAAGGAGGAGGCTCATTCATACTTTTTCTTTCCTTTCTTAACTTGGCAATTAATGATGCTTTGCAGGCAACTCTAAAGGGCAGTCTCCTGCTTCAGCTAGTTGGTTTACATCGAAGTCATCTAAAAAGGTTTATGATCATTAACATTTCATTGGTTTTATGTTGATCATATAATCATCTATGTAGCAGTTGTTAGTTACTGTAGTCATTCTAGCATTGGTGTTTGGCCTTATGACTCCCCCTCCGAAATTCTGTTTCAGATACCTCTTTCTTCTGTTACATCTGTCACTGATGGTTTGAAAAGGCTGTATATCCAGAAGCTGAAGCCCTTAGAAGTTAGTTATCGATTTAATGATTTTGTTTCCCCGTTACTGGTGAGTATCATGTATGTTTTTTCATATTAATTGTATATTTCATTACAGATGTGTGAAATTATATCTTTTAAAAATATTATTTTTACTTAGCATTCATGTTATGGTGGATCATGGTTTGCAATGTGATTATATAGTTATGTTGGCTTGTCCTATGACTCAGACAAATAGTGACTTCGATGCTAAACCAATGGTTATGCTTTTGGGTCAATACTCGACTGGTAAAACAACATTTATCAAGCATCTGCTGAAAGGAAGTTATCCAGGTGAGATATTGTATTTGTTATGTTGAGAGTTACAAAGTACTTTCCCAAAGCAGTTGTCCCAAGTATGAGGTTCCATGAGTGAGAGGGCAAGGGATGGCCAGAACTATAGCCCCATTCACCCCACAGATCAATTATTTTTGTTTGAGTGTGTGTGAGAGAGAGAGAGGGGGAAAGAGAGAGAGAATGTGAGTTTCTTGAACATCTGATATTGATCTAACTTTCTTTCCCATTTTATTCACTTTTAATAGGAGCCCACATTGGACCAGAGCCTACAACTGACAGATTTGTTGTTGTTATGGTAAGTGCTTCTTTTTTTTAAATCCACTCTCCCCTTGCTGAGGCAGCATGGGTTGACTAATGCTGGAATGATCATGGAAACAAAATCTTGTATTTTCATATGATCTGCCAAGCTAGCAATTTTATTCAACTTGACAATCTGTTTTACAGGTTCCAAATTCCTCACTTTCCAAGCAAAGTTGATTATTTCTAGGGAAAATTATAGTTCTGATCCTTGGGGTTTGGGTCCGGTAGCATTTAGGTTCTGAGTTTTCAAACTCAACGATTTAGCCCCTAAGTTTTGGATTTAATTGCATTTCGGCTCTTCATCCAAATTTGCATTGATTACTCATGAAATGCTGACACTGCATTTGTTTTTTTTAGTAAAACATGTTTTTCATTTCAATTATTCTGTTCATTCTTCTTGATTTTGTTGATTTTGTTGTGAGAATTTTGTCTTACATTTCTCTGAAGATTTTCTGGGTATCAAAGATGAATGTCGATTTTGACGTTTTCTTTTCTTTTTCAAATTCGTAATTTACATAAGAATAGGATAGTTTGGTCTTTCGACTTAATTCACTGTTGTTTGCTCCTTTTTAGTCTGGACCTGATGAGAGAAGCATTCCTGGAAATACGGTTGCCGTCCAAGCAGACATGCCATTTAATGGTCTCACAACATTTGGAACTTCTTTTCTATCAAAATTTGAGTGTTCACAAATGCCACATCCTGTAAGAATATATTCTGTTGTTATTATGGATATCGATTTTAATACTCTTTTCATGGCCTCAAAATTGTTCTTTTTTCTGAAGCTGCTAGAACATATTACATTTGTGGATACTCCTGGAGTTTTGTCTGGAGAAAAGCAACGCACACAGCGAGCTTATGAGTTCACATCTGTAACATCATGGTTTGCTGCTAAGTGCGATCTTATTCTACTTCTATTTGATCCCCATAAACTTGATATTAGTGATGAATTCAAGCGGGTTATATCATCATTACGTGGACATGATGACAAGATTCGAGTAGTCTTGAACAAGGCAGACCAAGTTGACACACAACAAGTAACTTATTATTGGCTTTCTATCTTTATTCTGGTTTACTATTTTACGGGATGAAATCTATGGTCTTAGTGAATCTAATTAACTCTTTTGGACATTTCAGTTGATGAGGGTTTATGGAGCATTAATGTGGTCGCTTGGGAAGGTTCTGAATACTCCCGAGGTTGTACGTGTGTATATGGGGTGCGGTCCCTTGCTTATATATGATACTAGTGGATTTTTTTTTTTTTTTCTTTTTAAAAGTATTCTCAGGTATATCGACCTAAGCGTTGATATGGTTTGGCCTCATTCAATGCAAAATGGTTTCTAAACGAATAGTCGACTATGATGCATCTTGCTAATTCACATATAGTTGATAATTGTTCCAAGATAGTCTAGCTCTAACATTTAATGGTTCATGTTTAATATATTTCCATTTAATGTACATTTCGTTGTCTTGATCATTTCTCAGATACGATTCTTATGTTGACCAATACATAGTCCACATGTTTCCTTGTGACAGATCGTTTAATGACAAACCAGTTAACGTAGCTGCTACAGGTCCACTTGGAAAAGAGCTCTTCGAAAAAGAACAGGAAGATCTTCTATCTGATTTGAAGGATATACCAAAGAAGGCATGTGATCGAAAAGTGAGTTTTCCAAGTCTACTATCCATGTTTTTCTGATTGAAATGGTATTTATTTGTGTAATACAAAGTGTCATGGAATTGAAAATCTCCTCGAAATGTCTCTTGTGCCCTCTCTCCCCATGAAAAGAAGAAAGTAGTTTCTGACAATGTCGGCTTCTGACAGATTAATGAATTTGTCAAGCGTGCAAGAGCTGCTAAAATTCATGCCTACATCATAAGCCATCTCAGGAAGGAGATGCCTTCCATGATCGGCAAAGCCAAGACCCAACAGCGACTCATGGACAATTTGGACGATGAATTTGGAAAGGTATTTCGTTTTAATTATTGTTCGAGGTTTCAACTCCCAGTAAATGGTATACTTAAAACCACATTACAGGTACAAAAGGAACATCACTTACCCGCCGGAGATTTTCCGAACGTGGAACAATTCCGTGAGACATTAAGTGGTTACTCCTTCGACAAATTCGAGAGGTTGAAACCAAAAATGATTCAGTCTGTCGACGACATGTTGGGATATGATGTCCCAGATCTTTTGAAGAACTTCAGAAATCCCTATGACTGAATGAGCTGGTAAATTCGAGCTTGAACATTCAGGTATACACAGCTCTGCTTTTATTAACATTATTATTAATTCAAGGTCTTCTTGAACTTGAAATGTTTTAACACTAATATGAAGTTTTGATGTAATGTATAATTATTACTGTAGTCTAGTGAGAAAGCATTGTTCGCTTTATTATTTTCCATCAGCATTCATTCTTTAAATCATTTTCTATTTAATAAAGCAGTTGGTATGCATTATTTTCTGTTTCTATCAATAACTTCTAACTCTAACCAATGTATCACATACTACTCCTTACACCTTCCGATTATCATGATTGGAGCTCGAGTTTCAGGTATACATGCTGCTGCTGCTTTAACATTCGGTTTATATATGGCATAGAATTTCGTTTCATTGGGAAACACTTTCAGTATTCTTGTAATATTATCGTGTATAGGATATCGTATTAAATAAATAGTTTGTTCATGTGTTCTTCTTTATTTTGAGAGGAAAATTCATATTTTACTTTTTTTTTTAATTCTTCTAGTAGGGTTGTTATTGGCCTTAGGAAACTTATTGGTTTAGTTTATACACCATTTTTTTAGATTGATTTTGGGAAGGGGATTGATTTTCTACTTTATTCAAATTTAAAATTCAATTTTATAAAATTGAAATCTAAATTGATTGGCTCAATTAAGTTCAATGAAATTTTGTTTTTGTTTTTTAATTTTTGTTATAAAGTTATGAGTTTAATTAGCTTAAGATTTGTTTGAAGGCATAAAAAATACATAAAAATAATAATATAAATAAAAACTAAATAATTTTATTTTATTAAAATAGGATAAGTTAGTTTTATTATTTTATTATCGTTTGTGATTTTGTTAATAAATTAAATTTACACGTACAAAGAAATGTTCATCTACATTTTAGACTGGTTATGTATATTTAATTTTAAAATAAAAGATATCTCCATTACAAAGAGTAAGAGTAGAGGTAAAGCAAATCTTTCCCTTTTGGTGCAGAGTTGTGTGTGCTGTGTACTACAAAACTCACCGTCCAAGCCCACCATCTTATTAAAATAAAAAATAATAATATTAAAACAAAGAAGGGTTGCAGGCCCAAGGGGTATGGAGTCACACTCATATTGCAGATAGAGGGACGTCCCTTTGCTTGTCATGGCGTGAGGGTCACAACCTACTCTCCTTTCCTCTCCCTAGAATTATTCTTTAACTGTAAAGGACGGACAGGTGATTGAATCTTGTCTTGCTTTCCTCTTTACTTGTTCAATCAGTCAGGGAATAGAGTCTCAGGTTGTTCCGGAGTTGTACTTGTTTTCGCTTTCATTTACTCGACGGGAAAGTCAGCTAATTCATTGATTCAAAGACTGTAAAGGGAATATCGTATTAAGGAGTTGAGGATAAGGAGTTCAGTCTCAGTCATAAGGAGGAGTCTCCCTTCTTTCCTTTTAGTCTCTCCTGTAAAGAAAGGATACGGTAAGGATTGAATATGCGAGTTAAGGAGAATGAAGAAAGGATAGCTTCTAACCCTCTTTCCTTTTATTCAAAGACTGTAAACTCTCTGGCTTTAGTCTTTACTTGTTCAATCTTCAGGTTTAAAAGGTTAAGTCGAATTGAATTACTATGGTTGTGACATCCGGCACCCCTCCTCACTTTCTCTCGGTAATAAATGATACTTTTGTATGGATGAAGTTGTAGAACTTAAATAACTTTTGAGATTTGTAAGTATACCTAGTGAGATTAGATATAGAAAATAATATTTTTCTGGGAAAATATATCAATGACTTCTTATTTGGAGTTGTATTCAAATTATTAAATTAAAAAACTTTTCTAAAATATAATTTCTCCAAAATTAATAAACTCATTTTTCTAATAAACATACCTGATATACAAATGAGAGGAATGAGATTGATCCTGGTGATATAAAATTATGTGTTAGGGTCTATTTAGTACATATAGTTCAATGGTCACCCTTAGTGAGTTACAGGAGTTATAGTGGGTATGTTATTGAGGTAGTTTTGGTTGTGCCTAATGGGGGAGCCCGATTAGTTATTATCTCCACTTGGAAAAGCGACATGACAAGTAGTTTATTGTTTCAGCTCAAGAGGAGTCGTAAACAAGTCAGCTACTATCTCTGCCTAGAAAGGCAATGTGACAAGCCAGTTACTTTTCTTTCGGAAAAGGCAAGGTAACATGAACCTCAAGGGAGTTAGAGCACTCCACATCGGAGGAATGTATAGGGTTTTGGTTCATAGAGATCTAATTAGGTCAGCACAGACATTGGGCATGAGTTTGGCCAGCTTTAGAGATAGTTATGAGCACATAACATCATATAGCATCATATTCCATGTATAGGAATAAGTTTGACGGGAGCCTACTTATTGAATATTTTTATACTCACTCTTGCCACATTTCAGTTTTCATAGTAGAACATTAGTAAGGGTTCCTTGACCCAAGTCTTTTGAGTTTTTTTTTTTTTTTTTTTTTTTTTAAATTTTTTTTTTAACTTTTCCATGTGTAAATGAACTTTATATTTATAGCACACATGCAAATATATGTATTTAAATTGTGTTGTTAAAATATATTTTTTTATTTTTTTGTCTTTCATTTTAAAACCTAAAAATTTTATCGTCTTTTCTTATAATCCAATTATTGTGACGGTCCGTATTTCGATACGTCGAAAATCGAGTGGTGATAATAGAGTATTACTTAGTAATCTTAGTGACATAGACAATTTAGGACTTGGATCATGCATTTGTGCGAACCCGCTTGACTTGACCCATAACTCTAGATAAACAGCTTAGGTTCATAAATTCATGGATTAAAAGCTCAAGGCACAACATTAATGATATCATAAACATTTCAATATAGCAATCCTATGAAGAGAGACGGTTGAAATTTATTAAGGTCATGAATTCTCATAAAATAACCATTATGGCATTTTCATAATTTTCTACCTTAATTGTAGTTTATGTCTTAAACATCCTCCAATTTCTTAGAAACCGTACCTATTAAAATTGTGCATATAGACACACTTCAATTATCTATCATCTTCATAAATTAGGGATTTTCTTGTCTTATTACCAGCAACTTCTGGGCTGGGCCGCAACATGATAAAAGTATGTCTACTTGTCAGCTGTAAGCTGGCCCATTAAGAAAGGCCCACAGACCAAAGCTTCCACATATTTCGGGAACAAAAACTATATATGAAATTCCTAAAAATAGTTTAATAATTTTTGCGTTTGCCGGGAGTCGAACCCGGGTCTATTGCTTGGAAGGCAATTATCCTAACCGTTGGACTACAAACGCTAGACGTCTAAAACTGTACAAATTAAAATACATATTTTAAAGTGAAATGTTTTTTAACCTTAAATTTTTTTTTTTTTTTTTTTTTTTTTTTTTTTACATAAATATTTTTAAGCCTCTACGTCTATGAGCTAATTTTGGTGAGTTTTGTTCAATTATTTTACTGATTATAATAACGAGATCCGAATGGTAAAATCAATTACGAGAGGAAATAATTTTTGTAAGTGGAGACTAGGGTATGACTTGTCTATGGTGCCTGCTCCAAAGTCCACTTTCGATCTCGACCAATTCTTTAGTTACCTAAAAAAATATATAAAACAAGGAGTGAGTACAAAGACTCGATAATTGTGTCCTTAGTGGATACTAGGATACCACACTTAATGTTTGTCTTGTTTTTGTCCGTGTCCTTAGTTCTTGTTCTTGGTCCTTACCCTTGGTTCTTGTTTCTTGAGTGGTACCTAGCAATCTTCATGTCTTAGAGTATTTACGACTTGTTTAGAGCTATTTTAGAGCATGGGTATATGATATACTTACTTGACTTGATTTATGGCCTTAAAGGTAGTCTCGTGATTACTTAAAAATAAAAAACTAACCATAAAGCTTATTTCTTGTCTTGATTCATGGCCTTAGATTAGTATATTAATTACTTGAAAATCTAACTCAAGGGCTCTTGAGCTCTTGATGCCTTACTAATCGAGAGCTCTTGAGCTCATTTTGAGTTAGGATAGGCTCTTGATGCCTTAAAACTCAAGGGCTATCCTAAAGCTTATGTTGAAGTAGCATTTTGGTTATGCAAAAATAAAAAACTAATATTGAGCTTTATCCTAATTTAGGACAACCTCTTAATAAGTTGAAAATCTAGGATATTTTCTTGACTTAAGGTAGCTGCCAGACTATTTGTAAAAACACGAGCTAATCATAAGCGTAACATAAAAATTATTCCACACCCTTATTGATAAGAACCTAGAGACATCAATCATACAATATACTTCAATGAAGATGTGAAGAAAATATTGTTAAAATTATCAAAAGATATTTCAATTCATACCATATTAAAGAAAAAATGGACTTGTAAAATATAGTAAAAGGAGCATTTGTGCTTTTCTTCAACCAATGGGTTTCTTTGCAATTCTATGCAGTTTAGGTTGCATGTAAAATCTCACTTAAATTCGATATGATCAATCGTGCTTGTGGAGTGATTCGAATCTCAAGCAAGTGTTCTTACGCTTAGATATTTGATCAACGAGAATCATTTAAGCTAGACATGATTGATCTTGCCGGGATAACATTCAAGGCTCACGTTAATGCATAACTCTATTTAATTATTAGGGGCATTTAAGTGATTTAGTCGGGCAACTAATTATTTAATATTTGATTAATTATTGTAATTAAGATAAATTATTTTTTTCCAAGGGATGCATCAAATAATATCTAAAATGAATGACGTGTTCCCCAAGCCAAATACAACGACGTCGTTCAACTTCCCTCTAACCCTCCGCAAAACCCTTACTCCAAATTCTCTCTCCAATGCTTCTCTTAATCTTTCCTCTTTCCCTCTTCTTTGCTTTGTAATAAATAGCTTTCAATCTGTTTATCCTTTTTCCAGTTTTCTTCACCTTCATTGTTAGCTATGTTCGTCTCCAAGCTTCTCTCTCGCGCCGCCTCCCGCACCATTTTCCAGGGCTCGCTGCTCTCGTCGGCCTCGCAATCCCATCAAACCATACGCTTTCCACTTCTCCTCACAAATCGCTTACACTATCTTGCAAACGAATCATCCAACAAGGTCCGATTTCAGTGCCTGTCTGTTACTTGCTTTTGCTTTCTGCTTTCTGCTTTCTGCTACAGGGGTTTAGCTACGGGTTTCGGTTTTTCTCAAAATTTCCTACCTAACAGGAACGTAGTTGTCCGATTGTCTCCCCTTTTTATGTGAGTTTAGAATGATTTTGG